AGTACTTTACGTATAAAAAGTGGTTTTCAAGAGTTTTTGTCAAATGATTTATAATATAGAATATATATATTTTTTATATAATTTAATTTAAGTTTAATAATAAAATAATTTATTTTTGGTTTAATATTATAAATTTTATAAAGATAATAATTAAGTATTCTGTGAGAATTTAATGATTATACTAATTATATTTTAGATTTTTTAGATTTAAAATGAGATGTTATTCTGTATTTGATTGTGTTTATCTGCAGTTAGTTACACGAGTTCAGATATGTGATGAAATCGGATAGAGATGAAATCGTTTAGGGATGAACGGTTTAAGAGTTTTTAAAAGTTTTAGCCAAATATTTTATAATATAGTATAGATAGTATAGATTATATATATATATATATATATTATTTCAAATTCGATTTTTTAAAGTTTTTTTTTGTAGTGTTGATTTCTATCAGTAAGCGTTTATCAGGTAAGCAATTGGGTAAACGACCCCTTACTTGAAGACATGCTACCAAATTAATAAGATTTAAATGATTAAAATAAAATTTAAATATAACTTTTATAAATGTATGTCTGTGCTTTGTCACCCGTACTTTCATCCAACAAAAACCATGCGACTTTACTTCATTGCTAAGCTAATAAATAAATGTTTATTAATATATTATTACCAATTTTTATGATCAACAATTAATTGAAAAAATCTAATAAAAATTATTCTTAAAATACCAAAATCTTATGCAGATATGTTTAATTTGGTATATCGGTTTTTACTATATTATCAAAGTTATAAGAAATAAAATTGAAAATACAAAAAAAGAAAGATAAAAAACAAATAAAAAATAGAAAATTTTAGAAAATCAACTAAAAAACAAAAAATAAATTTATTTGAAAAAATATAATTTATTTTCCAAATTGACATAATTAACCTTTATTCGGTCATATCGTGATGACTTCTCCTGCATTAACGGCGATTCTACGACTCCTTGATCAATCTTAAATGTGCATACGTTCAAAATAATTTATGGGTCCGTCATTTAAAAAAAAAATGCTCTTTTCATTTATGAAAAAACTTTCTCAAATAAAACTTTCCCAATATATAAAGACAGATTAATCCATACAGACATCTTTATCCATTAATAACTTAACCAAACAACCTCTAAATACTTTGGGTTTCAACTTTTAGCTGTTATTTTAACCTTTTGAAGAATAAAGGGGCTTTCACGATGATGAAACCAGCAGAGTATAGGGGTCGTAGTGTTCATTAATTATTACTAGTTGTGTACACGTGCAATGCGGCGGAAACCATGAATTTTTATGATTTTAAAGTTTCACTGGTTTTATTAGAAAATATTTAACAATGATATAAGTTACACTTGGTCTTTACATATTAATACAATTTGAATAAATAAGAGTTATGATTTCAATTACAGTCTATCAATGAAAAAAAATTGTATGACAGTATAAAATCCAATATATTTAAAAATCAACATATTTAAACGACTCCACAAATGTAGTTGATTTACACCAAGAGCAAAAAATCAAGGGAGCGAGACCGAGAGTTCTAGAGTAATTGAATGAGAGATGAATGAGATAACTTTTAATGACTTAAGGTGAATATCAATTTGAATATCACATTGGGGGATGAAGAGAAGACATAGAGGTATGAGAGTGAAGACATGAGTGAAAGGTGTCAAAAATATCCAGGGAACATGAAAAAAAAGTTAGTAACGTACATTGGTAACTTGTACTATATGTTATTTTAATTGTAAATTAGGAGATTTTAAAACTAAATGCATAAAGTAATAATACTTAATGCATTATGAGTTGTTTTTAAGACTTTGTACATAAATATTTAGTAATTTGTGCATTAAAAATTATTTTTAAGATTTTTGATAAATCTGATTTATAAGGTGGTATATACTATAGATACAAAATATTTTTACAAATTACCCCCTGTACTTATAGGATTATAATATCAATGGTCCAATGGTTTTAAAATTGTCAAATTGAACCCTATTTTAAAAAAGGTATTCTTTATGAGGTCAAATCACTTTTAACTTGAGTCACGATGCTTTTTAAACCCAAAGAGCGGGCAGGGAAACGTGCCTAGTGGCAATCACCTACAAACGACAAACCAAAGCAAGCCAGACAACCGTATTACTTTCGCCGCACGATCCCGTTCAAGTATCCATCCAACGAACCGGAAAATATCCATACGTTAGTAATAGTAGGCTGTACGACACATGATTACAGTAACGCCACAACGCCGTCTCGACTGATCTGAAGAAGCTACACACAACGCGTAGAGCTCGTACTCGTTCCTTGTTTGAATAGTCTTGGGATGTTTTCTTTAGGGTTTATAGTCAGATCTCTTACAGTTTGAGGTATTGATTGATTCGTATATAGTGAAATTAGGTCTTTCGAGTTGAATTTCAGCTTGGAAGATGGCGAAAGTTTATGATAACTGGAAGAGGCTGGTCCGAGCTACTCTCGGGAGAGAGCAGCTTCGGGTTTCCGGTCAAAGTCATGAAAGAAAGGCCAGTGGGCTCGCTGGTGCAGTTCCTGATTCACTTCAGCGGACCACCAATATCAATGCGATCTTACAGGCTGCTGATGAGATTCAACCTGAGGATGCACATGTTGCTAGAATATGTAAGTTAATATTGCTTAATGTATGCCTGTTATACTCTCTCCGCCTCATCTGAAAAGAGCTACACTTCAATTCTTGATGTGAACTTAGTACCTTTCGAAGAGATTAATGTGGTTTTTGTTTGCCAAAGTAACTCCATCATTCTTCTATCTGTAAACTGTAATACTGGTACAATTCAATGTGATTGGCAAACAGCCTAGAGGAAGTTTAAATTTTGTATCAAAGTTGGAGCTGAAAGCCAACCCCTTCGATATTTGAACTGAAATTATGGCCATCATTTTGGAAATGAAGGAACTACCCTAGAATCTATGCCCATCTTACTCAGAAAGATGGCACTTTGAACGTGTTTATAGTTTTCTATATGCGTTCTTTTTGAAGACACCAAATCTAAGTTGGAGTTAAGATTTTAATTGGGAGTCTTTCTATTTCTCAACTTCCTTCTGGCCTGAATCATCCAACAAAAAGATTGACGTGGTAAAAGAAAAGGAACCCTGAATACCAAGAACAATGCAAAAATACTCAAACTTGGCCATTCCCGAACAGTGTAAACATATAGTTAAGCCATTATGCACCTACTTTTTAACACGTCTTCTAGGTCTTGAGAGAAATCCATGGCTCTTAATTCCGTATTCAAGTCACTAAACAATCTGTCATTTTCACAAGGGTAATGATTAATATGTCTGTCTGCTACTGAGGGAAGCTTTTGAGAAATAAATATTCTAAAGCTTGGCATAGATTTATAAGGAATGCTGTCTGATCATGTACATGGTGCAGAAATATTTGAAGGTAACATCTTAAGGAGGTTGTCATGTGAAGGGAAGTACAAAACATATAACATCTTCAATGCAGTAGTTATAATATTTTTTGTTTTATTTATTGTGTACTGGATGAAGCTGATTGAAGAGCTATCTCCTTCTTTATCATGCGTCCACAGTCCACATATATTTTTGAATGGACAGGCATGTTGTCCTGCTCCAAAGTTAATGATGTAACTTAAGTGGTTTGATACAAACTTGACATGCCAGAATATGACTTTCGTGTTGACTTTCTTGAGTTTGAAAAGATTTTGGTGTCATGTACCTTGTATGCTTTGATTCCTTTCCATAGGGACTTTCCACTATTTTTGGTTGAACACAAGGTTGTGGAATCTTATAGTTTTATAAATTGGGGATTCATTATGAATATCTGACTGTTAAACAACCTACATTGTTCAAACCTTAGTGTGTGAGCAGGCGTATTCCATGGCTCAGAATTTGGACCCCAATAGCGATGGAAGAGGAGTTCTTCAGTTTAAGACCGGTTTGATGTCCGTGATCAAGGTAAGGCAAATATTTGAGTGTATGTGTGTGAATTGCTATATTGTAGCGCCATTTCTCTTGATTTCAGGGGCCAAACTATTCGAGAATCTACCTTCATTATTCAAATTGTTTATTTGAGCCTTTGATGAGCTTGATTGTCATGGTTTTATATACAATGTAATTCAATATTGATAAACAAAATATTTAGAAGTCCAATATTTGTTGCAGCAAAAACTAGCCAAAAAGGAGGGGGAGCGAATAGACCGTAACCGTGATGCTCAATACCTGTGGGATTTTTATCAGCGTTACAAACGAGTGCACAGAGTTGATGAGATTATGAGAGAGGAACGAAGAATGCTTGAATCTGGAACCTTCAGTGCTGATATGGGAGGGTATGCTTTTGTGCATTGTTGTGGTACTACCGTTCTCATACACACCCCTCTTTGCAATCGAGTTGCCGTGCATATGTGAATTATGTCTTCTAGTTTTATACTCCCTCCATCTCAAAATAAGTGTCCATGTTTCTATTTCAGTTTGTCGCAAAATAAGTGCTCACTTTCAAGACTAGATAGTTATAATTTACTAAAATTCCAACTCTAGCCTAAATTATGACCCACACATATTTTAAGAGTTGATGAGATGGAGAAATTTATTGATGGAATAATTGTATGTTTATAAAATTGTGTACTTCATTATGAAGGGTAAAATTGTCATTCTGTTAGTTATTAGATTGTAATAACTACACATTTCTAAAACATGTGTGTTTTTTCATTATGAACATTTATTTTGGGACCAAGGGAGTATTTGGAAGCTATTTTTCCATAAGCACATTCACACTCTAGGCTACACTTCAGAGAAACTGGCCAAAATTAGCTTGTTAATATACAAGCACCACCGATTTTAGTAACTTATTAAGCCGTTTTAGGTATTAGCTGATGTGATATTTGAGTTCCAATTTAGTATCTTTACATAACTGGGTATTAGTTTGGAGCATGTTTGTATCGATCTATTTGGGTGATGAATTGATTGAACTCTATTGGTGGCAACAATTAGCAACTCAAGCAACTTATATATATGCTGCACGCATTGGCATCTGCTTTATTATTCGTCATTGTAACACATTTGCTGATGAAGTACATCTAACTGAAGGGTCAAGATAGTCCTGGATACAGGCCTAAACAAGCACTGGTCTAGTGACTTGATACACATGCCACCCATTGGTCTGGTGACTCTATGGTTTCAGAGTTCTGTTTCAGAGCACCAATATTTTAATTGGTGCTTAGGCTTGTTTATAAATAACGACTTTGACATGCTTATAATGTGACATGTATATGCCTGAAAGGCTAAATGACACTGTTTCGAGTGATAATTTTCCGCTCCCTACATCTATCATCAAAGACTTGTAGGGCTCTTGTTTTTAATTTCTTTTTACTGTCTTAGGAGGGGGTTACTGGTTTCTGATTTTCCTCTGTTCACCTTTATTTCTTGTTTTTATGTTAATTGTTTGTTCTTTCCTTGAACAACATTTGTTGTCTTGATTCTTGTTTGCATTTATCGTTTGGGCTTGAACATGATACTTCTTGAGTTATGCTGAAAATGTAATGTCAGTTGTGAAAACAAAAAGCCTCACCAAAACTTTTTATATGGTTTTCAGCTTGGGACTAAGATCTCAAGAAACTAGAAAGGTATTTACCACACTGAGAGCTCTTGTCGAGGTAATGGAGGTCCTTAGTAAAGAAGCCGCGCCTGATGGAGTTGGAAGATATATTAAAGAAGAGGTATTTCTTCACTCTTCTCGCTACGAGTTAACAAAATCCATGCACCATCTAAATTTTATGTCCTAAAATACTCAAGATAGTTGCAATTGATAAATTATATTGTCGATTTCTATTCACTTTGCTTCTGGGATTCAAGATTGCTTTATTTTTTTATATTTGATCCCACTATGTTATTTTCAACTTCAAAAACATCCTTAATGCTTAATGCTCATATATGATTATTAGTTTGGCTTTTGGTCAAGAGTTGCAATGCTAGAGGTGCTTAAATATTATTGATTTGTTGGCATTGAAATATTTGTAAATGGTTCGTTTGCCTACAATCCATTTTTTTCCAGACAAATTAAGTTATGTCGTCAACTATTCTACATAGTTGGTGCTTTTTTGAACAACTTGCCACCTGCTGTTGAGGTTAAAAATCTATTTGTTTTATATGTTTAATTAAAATATTTTGTTTCCTTAACTTCTACAAGCATCCTCAATGCTTGTAGATAAATATAAGGTATTTTTGGTTCAAAAGTTACAACGCTATCGGTTTCTTAAATGTTATGAACTAATTGACACCAACGGATGTGGAGACTAAAAAATGGGAAGATGAGGCCACGGGTAAACGCATGTCTTTGGTTCATATGGCTTTCAAATCGCCACCATTTTCTCTATTTTGTTTAATTTGTGTTATATTTGACATGAGGAAGAAAGTTATATAGAGTAAATATATATATATATATATATAGAGAGAGAGAGAGAGAGAGAGAGAATGTAGTGTAAGATATTATTACGAAAGAGTTCATATATAATAATGTGAATGTTATATTTAGACAATTTAGGAGTAAGTTAGTTGGCAACTTAATACAATCTATCTGTCTTGATAAGATCACCCCTTTATAAATGTCTATCATTCCCCTGCAAGCTAAACATCATTGATGAGAAGCTTGGAACGAAGGAAGAGAAACCGAGGCAATGAGATCCCCTTGGTAAGCATATCCATAATCTGCTTGACATACAAAACGATATCTCAGATAAAATGAAGGTCAATCTTGATATGCTTTGTACGCTGATGGAAGACGAGATTAACTACTAAGTATGTGGCACAAATATTATCACACCGTAAAAGAGAGACCGAGAAAGAGGCAGCCAAATCTCATGAAGTAAAGATATCAACCAATGTCTTTCGATAATAGCCACTGAAGATCACGATACTAAGCTTTAGTATGGAGCATGTGCAATTGGAACTTCAACCGATCAATTTCCTTCCGAGAGAAATACCTAATCCAACAGTAGAATGTTGATAACCTGGGTAAACCAATCCAATCGGCATCATAGTAAGCATGTCCTGAAAATTCAGATGACCTCTGAATAACTAACGCATGCTTACTAGTTCTCTTCAAATAACAAAGAATCCACTTGACTGCGAAGTTCAGTCGGCGCTTGAAGGATAGTCACAACATAAACAATCTCTAGACGAATAAGGACAAGATACTGTAAATTATTGGCCAAGCTATACAGAGGGACATTGTCCGCTTGGACACATGAATAGATAGTAGCTTACAACCACTAAGCCTATGCGATGAAGAAATGTCAAATAAATACTAGGATTGGTATAAGTAGCCTAAACCCTAGGAAATGGCTTAACTTGCCAAGATCTCTAAGTGCAAAACAATCGCATAGCTTATGAATTAGATGAAGTAACAAACTCACTGGAGCTGAATGTGCTAATAATATCGTCCACATGGACTAGGACATTACATATATGAGTGAAAGTAGTATATACATTGAATAACCAATGGGAACAAGCAGTAGGCAACTAGTCAAACCACGCTCGAGGAGTATGCCTAAGATCATAAATTGTCTTTTTGAGAGACACTTGACGAGGTTTTGTAGAATCAACAAATCAAAGCGGTTAAGCCATATGAATAGGCTTAGGGGTTGTTTACTAACACTAATTGGGTAAATGCTAACCGACTAGGTGAGGCTCTTGATCCTTACCGGGACAACATCTCGGTCAACGACATTATGGGTCAGAGGGTGTGGGTAAACAACATTATTCTTATAGGGTTAGTTAAACTTACCCGGTAAGAAGCGACAAGTGTTTAGTAAACAATCCCTTGGTATTCCATGTAGATAGACATCATTGACATCAACATGTCTAAAGTCCCAACCAAGTGTGCAGGCAAGAAAAATAACATGTTTGATTGTAGAGGGCTTGATCCCTCGACTCAATGTCTCATGAAAGTTAACACCTTCGGTATAAAGAAATCCTTTTAGCAACCAGTTGTGCCTTGTAGTGACTAGTGATGCCATCAGGGTTATGCTTACAGTTGTGAACCCACTCACACCCAAGAATATTAGCACTTGCAAATGTTGGGACTTTAACGGCTATAAATAAACCAAAAGGGTTTTGTATATTGATCTGATATGTAATCTAATTACAATCAGTCTCTATATATAGAGATACTAATTAAATAGGAGTGCCCTCTACGTTATACTAATTGCACTTAAGTACATTCGTGGAAATCAATGCCATGTTGTTGCCGAAAACCTTTTGCAACGAGTCTCGCTTTGTAACGAGTGATGACACATGTCTTGTCCCGTTTTATCCTGTAAACCCACTTACAATCAACAACATTAGTATCATGATCACAAGGAACCAGATACCACTTGCCGTTTTTAACAAGAGAGGAGTACTCGACCATAGCTTGACGCCATTCAGGAGATTTGTTGGCAATGATAAACGAGATTGGTTCAATAGGTGTAGTGGAGGTGGTGGTAAGATTAGCCGAGAGATCAAAGGGAACCCGTTGTTTGGGGTTGGCCGGAGGTTAGGAGGAAGTTGTCTAGGCGGAGGCGGAGGCGGAGGCAGAGGCAGAGGCAGAGGCAGAGGCAGAGGCAGAGGCGGTGGTGGTGATGGAGAGGAGGAAGTGGATGATAATGGAGATGAACCACTGGTATTTGGATCATGGTTTAAAGGGGAAGTGGGTTTAGGAGAAGATTGAGAGATGGGCGAGAAAGTATGTGGTGAACTGGGCGGATCAGGTATTACAGGAGATGAAGCGACAAGTGGAGTGTTGTCGGTTACCACGTGAGGTGATATCGAGGAGGTGTAGGGACATGATGATGTAGGTGAGGAAGTGGGGACAGTAGTAATAGCGAAGGGGAAGTGGTCTTCATCGAAGCGAACATGACGAGCAATGTATAAACGCTAGATCGACAGGTCAAGGCAACGATAGGCGATAGCCATGATGGAAAGGACTATAGCCAAAAATGACGTAAGAGGTTGACCGAAAGTCAATTTTTTTGTGATGGTTGTATGTAGAAGGTGAGGAAAACGTTGACAATCGAAGACCCAAAGAAAGGAGTAACTGGGAGATCGTTTGAAGAGATGTTCGAACGATGATTTGTTTGTTGAGGTTCGTGAAGGCATGTGATTGATTAGGTATATAGCAGTATCAAAGGCGTAATGTCAGAAACGTTGAGGAACACTGGATTGAGCAAGCAGAGTGAGACCAATTTCAACGACATGTCGATTGCATCGTTCCACGAAGCCGCTTTGCTCACTGGTGTGAGGACATGAACGACGATGAACAATGCCAAGGGATGAGAAGAAAGGAGATTTCGAAATTCACCACCCTAGTAAGTTTGAACGTTTTTGACTTTAAAATTCTCTTTCGACCATGGTAAGTGTAATCAGAGAGAACTAGGACCGAGATATTAGAGAGAATTCTCTATTATATGATTAATCAGATAAATTCAAATTTACAAGAGGAGAGACACTATATATAGACATAATTACACGGGAAACCCTAACCCTAAAGCCCATCGGGCTTGGACACATTACCATAACTAGGTTACTTAATTAACACTCCCCCTCAAGCTGGAGCATATATATTGATCATGCCCAGCTTGTTACAAAAAGATGTGATTCGGTTCCTTGGTAATGCTTTGGTGAAGACGTCGGCTAATTGATTGCTAGTTCTGACATGAGAGGTTGAAATAGATCCATCTTCAAGCTTTTCCCGAGTGAAATGACAATCTATTTCAATATGCTTAGTTCTCTCGTGAAATACAAGATTGCTTGCAATATGGATAGCTGCCTCATTGTCACACCATAAATTCATCGGTTTAGATTGATTAAATCCAATCTCTCCCAATAGATTACGCAGCCATATCAACTCACAAGTAGTTTGAGCCATTGCACGGTATTCAGATTCAGCACTTGATCTTGATACAACATTCTGCTTCTTGCTTTTCCAAGATACCAGATTCCCTCCCACAAAGATACAATAGCCTGTTGTTGACCGTCTGGTTGTAGGGTCTCCATCATAGTCTGCATCAGTAAACCCTTCTATGACATAATGACCATGGTTTTGGTACTTGATGCCATAACCAGGAGCTCCCTTCAGATATTTCAAAATATGGCAGACTGCATCCCAATGTGTAGTTCTTGGAGACGACATAAATTGACTCAATACACTTACCGGAAAGGCAATATCGGGACGTGTGATTGTCAGATAATTCAGCCGTCCCACAATTCTCCTGTACTTCTCTGGGTTCTCAAGAGGATCCCCATCATCAGACTTCAGCTTTACATTCGGAACCATAGGAGCTTCACATGGTTTCGTGTCGATCATGCCAGAATCATGTAGTATGTCAAGGCAGTATTTTCGTTAAGATAGGCAAATTCCTTTGTGATTCCGAGATACCTCAATACCCAAGAAATATTTCAGTGGACCAA